TATGGAGACGCATGTGCACAGCACAGCACCTTTCTTTTGCTGATAAAAAATAATCGGTCGTCTCCCACCATCCATGCGCGTTGAACAGTCAAGGTCTGTCGTCTCCATTGTTCTGTTTTTTATCTTTTAAATTAGAGAGATCGAATTTGCACATTTATTTTTTTAATTTTTTAAAAATTAAATATAAAAACATATTTTATTTCAATTTTAAATACTCTATATATACTCTTCTTGAGTACTTTATTGCGCCAAACAAAGATATGAGGATCTTCACAAAGCTCTCTGCACCACTCTCACTCTGCCTCCTTTTTGTCTTCCTCTGTCTTAAAACTGCCTTCTCATCCTCTATACATGCTTCTTCCTTCTCAACAACGCATCTCTGCTCTCATGAGGAGGCTCTTGCTTTGCTGCAATTCAAGACATCCTTCTCGATCGATTACACTGTTTCGGACCCAAATTATTGTGGGGATCATTTTTATTCTAAGATTGAGTCATGGAAGGAAGGTATAGACTGTTGTTCCTGGGATGGGGTTAGCTGTGATAATGTCATAGGCCATGTAATTGCCCTTAATCTCAGCTGCAGTTTCCTTTATGGCACATTTCCTTCCAACAACACTCTTTTCTTCCTCAGAAACCTACAGAGCCTCAATCTTGCCTTGAATGATTTTAGGCTTTCCAAGATTCCATCGGAAATCAGTCAATTTACTAGACTAAAGCATCTTGATGTCTCTTCTTCTGGATTTTCGGGCCAAGTTCCAAGGGAAATTGCTCACCTCCCCATGTTAGTTTCTCTCAATCTCTCCAATTCTGACTTGATCCTTGAAGCAACTACCTTCAAAAATCTTGTTCATAACTTGAGTGAGGTGAGAGAACTTGAGCTTGGTGGAGTGGACATGACATCTGTTAATCCTCGTTTCTTCATGAATCTCTCTTCTTCTTTGACTACTCTTGATCTTTGGGAGAGTTGTTTAGGAGGAAACTTTCCAAACAGTATTTTCCACTTTCCAAATCTCAAGAATTTTTATTTAAGTGGAATGCAAAACCTCACTATTGATCTTCCAAGTTCCAATTGGAGCAGTCCTCTCCAACAGTTGTATTTAGATGATATGGATTGCGGAAGGCGATTGCCAGAGTCTGTAGGAGATCTAAAGTCATTACAGTCTCTGAGTCTTTTTTACTGCAACTTAGAAGGTTCCATTCCAACTTCCATAGGGAACTTATCTGAACTTGCCTCTCTTGACCTTTCTAGTAATCAGTTTTCTGGCCCCATTCCAGCTTCCATAGGTAACTTAAGGCAACTTACTAGCCTAATCCTCTATTCTAACAATCTTAGCGGACAAATCCCATCATCACTTGCAAACCTCACCCAACTTCCCTCTCTTGACCTTTCCAATCATCAGTTTTCTGGTCCCATTCCAGCTTCCATAGGTAACTTAAGGCAACTTACTAGCCTAGACCTCTCTTCTAACAATCTTAGCAGACAAATCCCATCATCACTTGCAAACCTCACCCAACTTACCTATCTTTCCCTTTCCTATAATCAGTTTTCTAGTCCCATTCCAGTTTCTATAGGTAACTTAAGGCAACTCACTGGGCTATACCTCTATTCTAACAATCTTAGTGGACAAATCCCATCATCACTTGCAAACCTCACCCAACTTACCTATCTTTCCCTTTCCTATAATCAGTTTTCTGGTCCCATTCCAGCTTCTATAGGTAACTTAAGGCAACTCACTGGGCTATACCTCTCTTCTAACAATCTTAGTGGACAAATCCCATCATCACTTGCAAACCTCACCCAACTTATCAATCTTTCCCTTTCCTATAATCAGTTTTCTGGTCCCATTCCAGCTTCTATAGG